CCTTCGAGGCCGAATGAGTAGGAATCAGCTTGTAAACACTGTCGGGTAGCCATTCTGCGTAAATTGGCCACGTATATATCAGGCCTCCTGTACTTTGTCCTCTGGCCTGCTACAATGAATCTGAATCCAATTAATTGAAGCCTGTTCCTGGGCGAAGAACTATTATGCCGGGAGTTCTATTCCCATGTCAGGGTAAGTGTAGGGTGAGTTTTTATTGCGCTTAGGAATTCGGTACGCTTTTCAGTCCACCAAGACGACCATTTATTCGAGCATAATTCTAGTCATCAGCTGCCTGGACTTTCCTCTTTAGTAAGTGCTGAAAACAGCTAGTTTGCCAAAATGAACCTCGGGTGATGAAGGGGCTCATTCTCACACCGGACACTCGCACTTTGCTTCTCCGGCCCAACTAAATAACAGCCGGAGAACCGGAGAAGTTATCTCAATGGGGTTCGCGGGCGAATGCGAGCCGGAACGAGTAAGTTCGGCGTATCACCAGACAGCGCTTCTACTGCTTATCTGATAAGCTGCCCCACTTGACTCCGGACAGACTACGAGGAACAAGGAGACCCGACCTAACACTCTTGATTAACTAAGCGTGGGAGGACGGACGACTATCGAATATACTATTTGACCAAAGTCATGTAATCCACTTTGAACCACCATCGCATCGTCGTTCTCGTTTACGCAAGACAGCCTACCCTTGGGCTAAAAAGCTGGGCACCTTGAAATGAGCAACCTCCAGTATCTGTTGGTGCAGTAAGGGTTCCTTATAAGCAACAAAGTAGTTTACTGTAACATAACTAACTACTTATTTCGTAGTAGTTTATTATTTAGCTAAGTTATTAGTTTATCATTTAGTTGTATCATTTTTAGTTTAGTTTTGTTTAGCTACTTTAATTTATTGCAGTTTAGTTTCGTTTAGTTAGTTTAGTTGAGTTTTACTTTGGTTTTAGTTCAGTTGGGTTTTTAATTTCTTATCTAGTTTTATTAGGTCTAGTTAAGTTTATTTTCCAATAGGGGAGAATATGCGAGTTCCAGGGAGTAGTTCAGAAGAAGAAGCGACCACTGGAACAAGAATTTTATTGTCCTGACGTGTCGGATTTTGTCGAGCATCTTTAATCATAGGTTATCGTAGAAAAGTCTGAGACATGCGCAGATAAGGGTGATACGTGCCCAGATTGCATGGTACTTATTGTTTGTAGCGGTCATCCGCATGCGTACTATAATTGTCAGTTCCCGTAGCCACCGCTCGAGGTCTTAATTGGTGCGGTGATGGCTCATTAATTGCCACAATTTGCTTTTCAGCTTCGGATGCGGGCTTGATAATTGCAGGACAGTCATGCTTGCTGTCGTCAGAGGATTAAGGATTCTCGACAAAATCCGAAATGTCAGGAAAATAAAACCCTTGTTCCAGTGATCGCATCTTCTTCTTCTAGGTTTATTTAGTTATGTTTTGGTAGACTTGAGAGCGAGGTAAGCTTTATTTTGAAAATATCAGCCCAAAATTTTCAGCAAAACCTCCTCCATTCAAAAGGAATAAATTTAGGCGCAAGAAATCACAACACCGGGAAATCGAAAGTAATTCATAATCTCCACTGACTGTAGTTTTCGACATCGTTGATGATGGTTATTGGAGACGTTGTCAAATATAGGCCAAATTGAACGGCTTTCAAAGCGGCGCTAGCCTGCTGACCTCGTGCACTAATGACCTCATTTTAGTTCAGATAAATAAAGAGGGATAAACATGGGCGACTACGGCGTTGCTTATAAGGAACCCTGAGCCTGACGCGAAAGGTGTAGGCGAGTGCCCGCATTTTGTCCCAGAGTTGAAATTGAGGTTTTGTCCTTTGGTTGTTCAGTGCCGGAGAATAGTGTGTGGCGCACTCCAGCGCCTAACCATCGTACACAAGACGTTCCCATTGCTTCTCCTTTAATAGCCTATACCAAGGTGCACACAGGCGGGCGGCAGCAACGCTCGACCAAACAACATGCATCCCTCGGTGGCTACTGGGATCCCCGGTCGATCGACGCCTTCGCTCTCTCGATCCGCTGAAGAACAGGCCACCAGTCGAGAACTGAAACGTCTGCAACACGAACTGCAGGCCATGCGAGAGCAGGTGCGTTATTCTCGGTACTTTATGTGCTTTCTTCTCCCCTCCCGCTCCTCATCCTTCTAACCGCCTCCCCCTCCCATCAAAACCACCACATGATCTGTTTGTGCGTATTCTTTGATCCAGTATCCCGTCGTAACGCGTACATCAATTCCCAATGATAACAACAATTGATATAGTACGGTACAATCAAATAAACTGTGATGAATAAACCAACTACAAACCTCGACGGTAGATATCCGTAGTAAATAACAAATGAGTCAGCCAAATATATTGTCCGACTCTAGACAAGAAAAAAAAACGCGTGTTCTATAACGTCACACGCGTACAGCAGAACAAGTTGACAATACAAGCGCGTCGCAGTTTCAAGGTCAAAGCCGATGTGAATAAACAAAAAGGGGAAGGAACAGCACGCGTTTAGTTCGGACAGAATTTCACAGGAGATGGATGTGGATGA